TTTTTTTTTTTTTTTTTTTTTAGACTTTAATTTACATTTTTTGTTTTACTTTTTGTTTAGACTTAACTTGATTGCTATCGCATAGAGGGCTAAAAAGCCCCCAATGTAATAGCTAGAAAAAATTGACAGGTCCTCTGTATGGAGACATCAGGGGTCCACAAGACCCAGAATGTCACCTAGGGACCCCCAAAGAAGCTGATGATGAAACAGAGATCTGCTTCATCAGCGTCTTCTCTGGCTCTCAGCCAGAGAAATAACAACTAAAGGTGAAAGTGATGTAATACACATTGCTTCCGACTTTAGAGAGAGGAGGAGAGATCAGCGGTGGGGGAAATGCTGATCTCTCTTCCTTCAGAGCAGAGCAGCCACTGAGCCAGTGTTCTCGGTCCCGGGCACCGCAGGGGATAACCGGCAACAGACAACATGCCGCCACCTGAGGTTATACAAGTGATCGGCCGGCTATGGAGCAGAAAAAAATCACCACCCGCCGGGAAGGGTCCGCCTGTATTTTTACGAGGGCGGATGACAAGGGGGCGGATTAAGGAGGCAGTCTGTCCAGTCCAGGAGCCAGCTCCATTGACATCGGCTAGAGCAGCCTTTCTCAACATGGTGTGCTTCCTGGCCTCCTCAGGGGTGCCTCAAAAATGTATTGGTAATGGGATTGTGATATGAAGGGGCAACAATGTGAAAGGGGGGTAAGCTGATATGAAAGTGGGGGCTACTGATGCAAAGGGTGACTTTGATGGGGGAGGGGGAATCTTGAGTTTAAAAAGACCCTTCGATGTGAAGGGGGAAACCCCACATTTTTGTGTGTTTTTGCGTGGGGTCCTCAAATCTATGACATTTCACACTGGGGTGCCTTGAGATTTTGCATACTTTTAAAGGGTGCTGTGACTAAAAAAGGGTTGAGAAACGATGACATAGAGAGAATCTCAGAAACTAGCTGCCAGCTGTGATATTTTTTTTTAAGGCGCATTGGCTACCTGGCTCCTTGGATTTGTCTAGCTCTGAGTTAAGCCATGCACTGCCTGGTTTTCATAAGCAGTGTGACTAATGCTGGAATATCTCTGCAATCATTGTACAAGCATTTCATTTTACTGTAGAAAAGGTATCATTCCATTCACTGTGTGCACCAGTGCAGAAAGAAAATGTGCTGTAAGGAGAAACCAACCGAACTATGGACAGTCTTAGGCCATCCAAACATGCTGCAATCTCATTCAATAATCGCCAACTTAGGAGTGCGATCCTTCCAATTTTTATTTCCAATAATATGTAATTGTTAGTAATAAGGAGATTGTACAGTCAGATGTGTCTGTCTAGATTTAGGGCTTGCCTTGGGATGTTTCTTACATGCATTTGTTTTTTGCATGTTTTTTTTTTTTAAACTACATTTTGTAGTCTTAATGTGTCATGTATTTGCATTACTCACTGAATTTCTGTAAGGCATATGTATACACTGAACCAGAATCTGTGACCCTCCAAGAACTGAGGAAAGTGGGTGAGCATAACAGCCAGGTAACCTTTTTTTAAGAATATGTCCCGCAATGGCAAGCCCCATGGTTTTGTCATTACAGGTCTGCTTTAAAGTGGGTGCAAACAGGCTATGAACACACACCGTCTATTTCCTATCGCATTCCTAACCGCAATTGAAACCCAATAATTATAGGTGGGTGCAGCAGTGGAAGCAGATGGTGCCGCCAATCAATCCATAAGAAAAAGTAGAAACCACTAGCACTCCAAAATGCCTTGCGTCCAATCTTTATTGATATATAATCACGATGGTCTCGGTTTATGGCAGCATTTCGGAACCCTATCCGGTTCCTTCCTTAAGGCAAGCAAAGTGATCATGTCAATAAAGAAGATTTGACGCTAGGAATTGTGAAGGGCCAGTGCTTTCTACTTTTTCAAACAGGAAGATACACATCAATTATCCCTTATTGAGTGCTCTCTGAAAATCAATTTTCCACAATCACTGGTGTCCAGTGTGTTTCAGGCATGGTTCTATCTCCATGCATTCTCATTGTTGATAAATGTCATTTGATTTCTAGGAACAAGCCAAGTTTTCGGGGGTTGAATACCCTGCATCAGGCCAGATATTGAACCTTGACATCCCAGGGAAAGTTCTGGTTGTCGGAATGATGCACGCAGCCATTATTATACAGGCTTTTCAAGGCTTCTGAATTTGCTATAGTAATGACCTGCAACAAGTATAGAGATCAAGAATTCTGACCGCCTACTTGTTCCAGATCAGTCACTTACATTATTGAAGCCAATGACAGGCTGTCAGGACAGCATTAGCAGCCTCTCTAGACATGTTTCTTTTTATATTATTTTTTAATTTGTTTGTGAAATACACCAAACCATATTGCACAGCAACTTGATAAGTAAAGTGGAAAGGCACTATAGTGACTTGGTAACCTAAGACTTTGTTGTAAGTGGGCCTGGCACATTGTTTCTGCAGGGAAATGTGCTGAGGAATTGTGTTTTAAATGGTAGTTTTTTTAGCAAATGTCCTTTGTTCACCCTAGAAAAGAATGGTTGGACCTGAAAACCGAATACTTGTCTCTTCAGCGAGCCAGCATGGCGTCCCTCAAAAAGTCACTAAATGAAAACGGCTGTCCTTCTACAGGAGGGATGGAAACTGAACCAAGTGGGCAAAACCTTAACAGCAAAGGTAGATCAACATGTGAACATGCATACTGCATTATTTGCTGAAACATTTGTATTTTCTGTGCAGTAAGTCTTTTGATCTATGCACACATACCAGACAGCACAGCCAGGTCTTGTCTTTCTTTTCCCGTCCTCAGCTAATATGCTACAGCTTGGTCACTGACTATTCCAGCCTGTATGTAGTTTATTAGTGAAGGAGCAGCAGCTCACTGTTAAGTCTACCCTGCAATTGCTCCTCATGTCAGCATGTTCCCTTTTGTTAAATGGAAAGCACTGCAGTTCAGTAGAGCAGGGGTAGGCAACCTTGGCAGACCAGCTGTAGTGAAACAACAAATTCTTTGATGCCTCTGGGAGTCATGTCTGTGGCTGTCCAGAGTTTTGCAATGCCTCATTGTACTTGCAGTTCCACAACAAATGGAGTGCCAAGGTTGCCTACCGCTGCAGTATGATTGGTTTGTAGTGGCGCCCCTTTTTCTCCCAGTCTAAATACTGCTATATAATGGGGCATTACAGGTGCATAATATAAAGACAAATCTGGTACTCTTGAAAAACACATTTAAGGATTTGTAATGGATATAGAACTGGATTAAAGTGGCATCTCCTATTTTGGTCTACAGTTCTGTTTTTTAAAATGCACGCTAGTGAACTCGTCAGTGAAGTCATTTTACAAATGTCCCAATTTTAGCCCTGTTTATTGTCTTCCAGTTTCATTGCATTCTATTTTGTCAGCTTCTTCTCTTCACATTTTCCTATTTTTTTCCTCATTTATCTGACAGTAAATAGTACAAAGAACGAAAACCTGGGACCCCAGTTTGTATGTGGCGTCATTGTGAAGATCACATGCTCAGATCCTCTGCCAGTCCGTAAACATGTTAAGGTGAGTAATCCTCTACATTTCTTGCCCTTTAACATTTGTAGCTGTATAATCCATCTTAGAAAAGCCTGAAGAGTTCTGTTTTTTATTTAAACATTTGTATGCAAGCAAACGTATGGGAAAGTCTCTTCAAATTACTGGAATAGAAACATTATGATAGCAAATCCTCTAAGTTTACCTTAGTCAAAGTTTAATATAATAATCCTTATAAGTCATTTACCAGAATTCCCATTAGGACTGTGGATGTGACTGTAGCTACTTGTTACATGATTTTGCACTGTGCGTTGTCCCTTCCATATTCCGGTATGTATGCAGTGGGCATGAAGAGAGAACTTCACTTGTAGTAACATGAATGTGGAGTTGTTTAAAATGTAAGGGTGCTGACAAAGTGGTTACATACCACGATACATGTGAAGCTATTCTGTGGATGCTCGCAATACCTTACTTCAGCATTATAATCAGTGGATGCCAACAATACCTTCAGCATTATAATCAGTGGATGCCCACACTACCTTACTGCAGCATTATAATCAGAGGATGCCAACAATACCTGCAGCATTATAATCAGTGGATGCCCACACTACCTTACTTCAGCATTATAATCAGTGAATGCCCACAATACATTACTGCAGCATTATAATCAGTGGATGCCCACAATACCTTCGGCATTATTATATGAGTATCGACTTCCCGGGATCTAACTAGTTTGGCAATTTTTTTCCCCACTTTTCACTTCTTTAAAGAACTCTGGGCAAAACTTTGATTTACTCTTGCAGTGGGGCTACCCCATGCACTGCAAGGGTTAATTTCTCGTTAATTCACCCGAACCACTGAACCGGTCAAGTCTTTCTCCTGCTAAGCTGCAGCATTAGAATGTTCCTCAGGGTCCTCGCGTCCAAACACTGTGTATAGAACATGATGGGGGGCGGGGGATCGGTCTAAGAAAAAGCCGGCTACACGGTTCTGGTGAGTATAATTTTTTTTTTTTTTTTGTAGCACCTAGATAAAAATGAGCACTTAACCCTTGCAGTTTGGGGGTAGCAGGGTTAATAAAACATTTGCTCAGTGTTCTTGTTTAATGACGGCACTTATGTTTGTATTGTTTAGAATGTTTTGTGTAGTATCCATAGAAACTGCACCAGGTCGGTGCCATTGCTAAGATTTTAAGTTCAAATTAGTTTACATTATTATGTATACATGTTTACGTGGTGTTTACATTTCATTGGGCTCCTCGATGACCTATATGGGATTTCTGTATTTATTAATTGATACATGTTTTACACACGCTTTGCAGCTACTTGCTTTTTAATTTTTTTAAGGTTTTATACCTAGGTTGTCCCTGGCTAACACGTTAGGTGGTGTGGCTTCAGTTTGGGTAACATTTGGGCATACTGGCAACTGTAGGTGCTGAATGCCAGGCAAAAAAATCAGGGCCATTCTGTAGGTAGGCTGTACCATGGAATTGGCTTTAGTTGTAAATGAGAATAAAGCAGCAGTTGCTTTTCACTTCCAGTTGTAATGGTCAAGTCATGTTATTCACTATCCATTAATATCCATCAAACTATATTTTTTTTCCCAGGAGATATTATCTGCAGTGTCTGAAGTGGTGTATGTAGATATGCTGGAGGAGGATACAGAGTGTCATGTTCGCTTTAAGACTCCTGAAGAGGCTCAAGCTGTCCTGAAAGCAAGATCTGAGCTGCAGAGCAAGCACAACTGGAATCTTCAAATCCTTACCGGTAAGGAAATGGTAAAGGACATCAATCACCTGCCGAGCAGGGTATAGGCTTGAAGAAACACTAGCACAGCAATAGCTTATGGATATTCTAGTAAGGGTCCATCTACTTTACACATACAACCTTAAACCTTCTATGTAAATGGCATCTGTGGGCAGCTGTTTTCTCGTTCTAGCCCATAGAAATGTTTATGTAATGCATTTCATTGTAAAATATAATGAACTGTGATAAAGCTGTAGAAAGGCACAACTGTTAAAACATTGTGGTTTCCCAAAACAAAATTACACGCAAAGGTGTTACTTAGATCTCTTTTTGTTTCACCTTCAACCTAGAAAGCCCTTGGACATGCAGCTTTAGGCATCTGTCTGCACACTACCTGCTTCAAAAAAGTAGAATGACCGTCTATCGAGAAATGTAAATCTAGTGCTGCACATACGGAAAGAGATGACTGCAAAAGCATCATATGACCAATTATGTTCACTCGCAGATCAGCATTAAGCCTGGACTGGCAATTCTGGCAGTTGCCAAAAAGTCAGGTTTAAATGGAAGGTGGTCCAGTGCATGCTTACTCTGGCCCATAAACATGTTAGACTCCTAGCTGTACCATGATGGCCATAGTGCCACTCAGGATTTGTAACGTTTGGTCAGGTAGTGTTTGCTGATGTGCCTTTTATATGTGAAGACTGATTTTGAATTTTTTTTTTCCTTTTAAAGAGACCTCTGGGAAATGCACAAATTAAGTAAAATATAAACTGAAAGCTATTTCGTATAGTCTATAGTAAATTTTATTTGTCTGGAAAGCTGGGAGAAATAATAATGTTCCATAGGATTTTGGTCTATAGTAAGAAATAAAGCATTTCCTGCTTCTGTTTGGGTTCCAGCCAGTATAGTAGCCATATGTCACAGTGCCCTTTAATTGAACCCTTCCTTTACTAGACTAAGTTGCTTGTACTTGTATTAATTCTGCATAATTCCATATTCTGTATGTATACTGGGGGGTTTAACCCTATCTAGAGCTCTCATTGATTCCCAGCCTGAACCAAATGAATGGTCACTAGTAAATTCCAATCCCAGAATCCTTTTATCTTCCTTTAGGAGACAATGAGCAGCGATACTGGCAGAAGATCTTGGTGGACAGGCAGGCAAAACTGAACAGACCTCGTGAAAAGAAGAGAGGGACTGAAAAGGTAAGTTTTGTTATGTATGTATGTATGTATGTATGTATGTATGTATGTATGTATGTATATATATGTGATAGGAGGTCTGTTGAGTGTTTTTTCGTTTCAAAGCTTTTATTGAGTTTTGACATTAGGTAGGGTACATAATACAGTAAACAACTGTTGAGTGTTTTTTAACCTGTTCTACAAGAAGCAGTTTTTTGTCATGATAGAATTGTGTACCATTGTTGCCATTTCTTTCTCAAAATGCTAGTTGCCTGACTGTTATGCTGACCCTTTTGCTTCATTAATTTTATTTAATGACTGTGAAATGATATACAAATCAAAAATTCTGAGTAGTCTGACTTTCCTGATCTCTATATTGAGATTAGCCCAGTCAAATAAAGCAGTGTACACTGCAGAGCTGCTTCTGACAATCTTAATTGTAATAACTCACTGAAACAAATCACTATTCACTCTGCTAAAGGGAGACCAGCACAAGATGGATTTTGATGAATTGCTCCAGGTTACTGCACTTAAGAATATAAAATCTCTATTAAAGAAGATTGTTGTGTAGTGCTGCATTTTATAGGCTGCAGCCCTTTTAACAGTATGCACTGTAGAACCCCACCCAAGCTACAATTAGCGTGAGCTGCAGAGCTTCTAGTCAGGGCCACTCTAGAACGTAATGACTCCCTGATATCATGCTACTGGGTTACCATTATATATACAGTTGTGCTCATAAGTTTACGTACCCTGGCAGAATTTATGATTTCCTGGCCATTTTTCAGAGAATATGAATGATCACACGAAAACCTTTCTGTCACTCGTGGGTAGTGTTTGGCTGAAGCCATTTATTATCAATCAACTGTGTTTACTCTTTTTCAATCATAATGACAACAGAAACTACCCAAATGACCCTGATCAAAAGTTTACACACCCCAGTTCTTAATACGGTGTGTTGCCCCCTTTAACATCAATGACAGCTTGAAGTCTTTTGTGGTATGTGTGGATGAGGCTCCACACATACCATAAGGCCTGGTTCACACCTGTATGTTTTGTAGCGCGTTCAACGCTCTACGAACGCTCTACAAAACGCTCAAACATGAAAATCCCATTGTTTTCGATGGGTATGGTTCACACCTTGCCGTTTTTCAGCCCGTCTGAACGCGCTACAAAGCGGCCTACGCCTGAAAAGGTACATGAGCTTCTTTGCGGCGTTTTTGTCGAGCGTTTCCATTGGGATACAGCCAAGAAGCCATCGGAAACGCGTGTTCGACGTGCGTTTTTTTTTTTACCGCGAATCGCGGTAAAAATGCGCGTCACACGCGCATATTCGATACACCTAGATGTGAACCGAGCCTAAGGAAATCATAAATTCTGTCCGTGTATGTAAACTTATGAGCACAACTGTACATACATATATACAGCAGTGTAGAATTCCGATCGCCTGACGCCCCGGATATGCAGTGATGGGCGGGGAGAGAGAGAGAGAGAATTGAGTACCTTCAAAGCTGAACTCCACGCAAATAGCTAAATACACAGAAACTAATTATATATATATATATATATATATACACAGTTCAGTAACAATTACAGGTCTTTTCCCTCCCCCACCCTGTGACTGGACAGTGAAAGGATCTTATGTGTCAGGATACCTGATCTGTACCTCCCTGTCCGTGGTCCAGAAGGATAATTACAATAGGCAGGGACAGCACACATATCCTTATTCTGATAGTTTACTTTTAAGAAAATCATTTTGATGTGTTCCCTTCTAATTTCTTTCTTTTTCGTTAACAGTTGGTTGCTATAGCTGAGAAAATCCGTCTTGTTAAAACCCAGGAGGCTTGCAAACACATCAGATTCTGCGATGAACCCTGACACCGGATTATTTAGACTGTTTTTTACATTTTTAATTTGTCATCTTGCAGATACACAACTCTCAGCTTACAGTTTGTGAATGGACATTCCTCTGTTGGATTTTATGCAAATACGTGTGTGTCAAACACTGTATTAGATGTGAATAAAGAATACAGACTCTTTTTTTTTTTTTTAGGAGTTGCCACAGGAGCTAATGAGCTTGCTGGGCCAAATCAATGTTAAAGGAAATATGTGCTAATGGATATATGGAGGCTGCCACTGCTGACCTCTCCTTCTGAAAATGCTAGTTGCCTGACTTGCTGATCCCATTTGCTTTTTTTTTAGTTACAGGCCTGAACAAGCATGCAGTTCATGGTTTTGACCTCCATGGACTTTTGGCATCAAGTAAAGCTAACATTGGCATTAAAATGCAGGGATGTCATAATGTACAGTACATTTATTCTGTGTAAAGTCCTAGAGCCTTCAAACCCAGGGACACTCTACATCCAGGCCCATGACTTCTTCATCTTCCTCAACATTGGATACTGGAAAGGGGCAGCATACTATAGCTTTCAGATGCTGAGGAATGTTGGAGAACTTTAAGGGTCTGGATGCATAATGCAGCCAGGTTGGAGAGCTCCTGGAGCACATACAAACTATGTACATTTGCCATCCCTGCACTTCAGTGTAAATGTTTATTCGATTTGTGAAATGCAAGGCAAGGTCTCTTTAAAGGATAACTGTACTTCTGTATAATTATCCTTTGTTGCCACCCATACCCAGCCACTTCCCCCTAAAGTTTTAAACTCTGCTGTACACGCTCCTGCAGGTCCATTGACTTAAATTATCCTTTACACTGAGGAAAAAAATGATTTGATCCCCTGCAGATTTTGTAAGTTTGCCCACTTACAAAGAAATGAAAGGTCTATCATTTTTATCATAGGTGTATTTTAAATGATAGAGACAGAATATCAACCAAAAATCCAGAAAAAACACATGATACAAATGTTATAAATTGAATTGCAGTTCAGTGAGTAAAATAAGTATTTGATCCCCAAGCAAAACATGACTTTGTGCTTGCCAACAAGGGTTTCTCCAAGTGGTTGGTCACCAGGTTTGCACACATCTCAGGAGGGATTTTGCTCCACTCTTCTTTACAGATCTTCTCTAAATCCTTAGGGTTGGGCTGTCGCTTGGCAACTCGAAGTTTCAGCTTCCTCCAGAGCTTCCACTCTTTAATGTGCTTCTTCTTGAGCCACTGCTTTGTTGCTTTGGTAGTATGTTTTGGGTCACTGTCATGCTGAAAGACCCATCCATGACCCATCTTCAGTGTTCTGGCTGAGGAAAGGTTTTAATCCAAGATTTTGCAATACATGGCCCCGTCCATTGGCCTCTATTCTGGGCTGATCCCTCACTTTTCTCATGACCATCCTTACCGCATGAGGCAAAATCTTGGAGCATTGAGCTCCAGACCGAGGGCGATTTGATGGTTATTTTGTATTCCTTTTGTAAGCGCTCAAACAGTTGTTTCCTTCTCACCAAGCTTCTTGCTGATAGTGTTGTAGCCCATTCCAGCCTTGTGCAGGTCTACAATCTTGTCCCTAACGTCCTTTGACAGTTCTTTGATCTTGCCAATGGTGGTGAGGTTTGAATGGAAGACAGATTCTGTGGACAGGTGTCTTTTTTTTATTTTATTTTTTTACATAACGAGTTGTCATTAGGAGCACCTTCTTAAATTGACAGGACTAATCTGTGTAACACATGGCCAGTATGTGGGAGGAGCCAGAATTATTGTTTATTGGTAGGGGATCAAATACTGATTTTACTCATTGAACTGCAACTCAATTTATAACATTTGTATCGTGTGTTTTTTTTTTTTTCTGGATTTTTGGTTAATATCTGTCTCTATCATTTCAAATACACCTATGATAAAAATGAGAGACCTTTCATTTCTTTGTAAGTGGGCAAACTTACAAAATCTGCAGGGGATCAAATCATTATTTTCCTCACTGTAAGTTTGTTGTCTTTGCCTAGGAGCAGCTTCATTCACCCCAACCCAACTGCAAGCTGCAATTGTGTCAGCATTATTAGGCCTGGTTCACACCTAGGCGACGGCGTTTTGCTTGTTTTTGATGCACGTTTTTGTGCATTTTATGCGCATACGGCAAAAAGCATGTTTTTGTGAGCAGATTGTAGCTCATTGATGTTAATGAGAAAAAGCGCATAAAAACAGCAAACGGGCGCTTTCCATCATTTCCTATTAAGTCTATGTGGCCAAAACGAGCTATAATATGCCAAAAAAAAAGCTGTACTTTTTCCAGCAACAGGCGTTTTGCTTATTGCGACAAAACGCTCAGATTTGAACAGGGCTATAGAAAGAAATGGGATTTTTTGAGCGTTTTTTTAGGGCAGAAAAAGTGCTAGAAAACGCTCTGTGTGAACGAAGCCTAAAATTGGACATTGGCAGAAAGCATCAGTAAAACCTGTTGGCGTCATTTATGCTTGAAACATCTCAGATGCTATATATTCTGTTGTAATGGTTCAGCATATGGAAGCAGTGTTACTAACCACTTTAGTCACCATAGACCTCCTGATGACGATCACTAACTTCAGCAGGTTGCAGTTATTGCATGTAAATAACATTACAGTACACAGATCAGCTTACAGTTGGCGACGGTCTTTTTTCATTTTCTTTTGCCTTTTAAACAATATGTCCCCACTGCTTTAATTGAGGCTTTATTTTGTATTGTTTCAAATGAAATAAATCCTTATTTTTAAGTCTGCTGTCGAACTTCCTTTTAAATTTTACAGCCTGCCAGGAAAGTGAAGCTACAAAATCTGTGCAATCATCAGACTGACAATAGGGCTTGCTTTACTATTAAACACTGGTGGTTCCAGCGCTTTTATGTTGGAGTTGTAAAGTCTAAGTGCTGGGATCATCTTTCAGCAATGAACTCTGAAGGAATGAGTCAGGCAAAAGAACCCATCTCTGCCCTTTCTAGATGTATGTATGTATGTATGCATATGTAGGTAACAAGTCGGGCATCAGATATTGAAGGTTTCGTTAAAGGTGAACTCTATGCAAACAAGTTAATTTACAATTGAATATTATGACCACTGACAGGTGAAGTGAATAACATTGATTATCTTGTTACAATGGCACCTGGAAGTGGGTGGGGTATATTACAATGGCACCTGGAAGTGGGTGGGATATATTAGGCAGCAAGCGAACATTTTGACCCTAAAGTTGATGTGTTGGAAGAGGAAATGTGGGCAAACGTAAGGATCTGAGCAACTTTAACAAGGACCAAATTGTGATGGGTAGACGACTGGATCAGAGCAACTCCAAAACTGCAGATTTTGTGGGATGTTCCCCGCTCTGCAGTGGTCAGTACCTACCAAAAATGGTCCATGGAAGAAAAACTGGTGAAGCGACAACAGGGTCATGGGCGGCCAAGGCTCATTGATGCATTTGGGGAGCAAAGGCTGGCCCGTGTAGACCAATCCAATAGAAGAGCTACTGTAGCTCAAATTGCTGAAAAAGTTGATGTTGGTTCCAATAGAAAGGTGTTTGAACACAGTGCATCGCAGTTTGTTGCATATGGAGTTGCGTAGTCTCGGACCAGTCAGGGTGCCCATGCTGACCCATGTCGCCTGCCAACAGTGCCTATAATGGGTATGTGAACATCAGAACTGGACCATGGAGCAATGAAAGAAGGTCTGGTCTGATGGATCATGCTTTCTTATACATCATGTGGCTGGACAAGAGTGTGTGCGTTGCTTACCTGGGTACCAAGATGCACTATGGGAAGAAGGCAAGCTGATGGAGGCCGTGTGATGCTTTGTGCAATGTTCTGCTGGGAAACCTTCGGTCCTGACAAGTACCACCTAACTAAACATTTTTGCTGACCAAGTGCACCCCTTCATGGAAACAGTATTTCCTGATGGCAGTGGCCTCTTTCAGCTGGATAATGTGCCCTGCCACACTGAAAAAATCGTTCAAGAATGGTTTAAGAAACACACCGACTTTGAGATGTTGACTTGGCCTCCAAATTGGTCTACAGATCTCAATCCAATCGAGCATCTGTGGGATGTGCTGAAAAACAAGTCTGATCCATGGAGGCCCCACCTCACAACTTGCAGGACTTAAAGGATCTACTACTGATGGCTTGGTGCCAGATACCACAGCATACCTTCAGAGGTCTAGTGGAGTTCATACCACGAAAGGTCAGGATTGTTTTGGCAGCAAAGGGGGGGGCCTACTCAATATTAGGCAGGTGGTCATAATGTTTTTGCTGTGTATATGAACTGTTTTATGTGCAAACAATTTCGACTAGCCGCCTTATGCAAGCACCTCTGCCAGACAGCATAAAAAAAACCTTATCCTCCTTATCTATACAGCTTGGTCCAAAGAACACATCCCTATCCTAGTGACGGAACAATGTAGGAGCAACATCACTCTGCTTTTACCTCCTAGAAAGGCAAAAAGAAACATCAGCACTTCCAGGAGAATCCTCTTTAAAAGATCCAATTTGATTAAATATGCAGTAAAATGCGCTTACGCGTTTCAGACAGAAGTTTTTAATCAATAAGGGTTTCTGTCTGAAACACACAATTGCTTTTCAATGCATATTTAATAAAGCAGGCTGATAGTAGAGCACTGTCCGTGCGGACGTTCCTTTTTGTCATTCTGGATTTGCTAATTGCAAGTTGTGTGCTCTGGGTGTTAACTGGGGCATTGGATAAAGCTGGCCAAACACCTTACAATTAACTGCAGATTTTCTGTGGTCAGATGGAAAAGGTGCAACAGATTCCTCCATCTACGCTACACTGTGTGGATGGAGTAATCTCCACCTGGGCCAATCGTTGCACTTTTTCCATCTGACCACAGAAAATCTGCAGATAATTGTAAGGTGTATGGGCACCTTAAGAGCTGGTGAGCTGTCATTTTTCCTGCTCTGGTCCACTCAGCCTTTTCCCTGCAGCACAAGTGCATAGCAGTGGGGCATTACAGGCCTCTAATGCTGCTCCTTCCCAGCCCTACTGTACCGGCCCTGGAAGCATGACAATACTGCTGAAAGTGCCATGTGGTGCTGTCAAGTGCTTGTGTTAGTCTTCCAGTTAAGCTTTGGCACATGTCATTCGACTTTCAAATGCCAGATC